TTCTATAGTCTCTGCAGAGGAGAAGGGTTCGATAGGAGGGGACATTTGGAAGGGGGTGCGCAGGTATTCGGTGACGTCCGCGGCGGCTTTGGGGGAATGGGGTTTGAATACTTTTGACAAGTGTTCTGCAAACAGGTCGGCTTTTTCTATAGGGCTTCGCGCCCATCCACCTTGCGGACGGCGGATAGGTGGGATTATTTGTGGGGGGCGTGTGAATTTCCTGGAGGCCTTCCATAGTGAGTAGTTGGTGTCGGCTGTGGGGGATAAGCTGGCGAGGTATTTATGGAAACAGTCGTTTTTATAGTTTTTCAAGGTTCTGGATAGCTTTCTAGTTGCATTGTTTAGCTTGCGTTTGTCATCCGGTGTTCTTTGGGTCTGCCATACTCTTCTTAGTCTGCGTTTTTCTGCTATTTTTTTAAGTATGTGTAGGGGGTATTCCTGCTTGCTGTTAGGTGGCTTTGTCGGTGTGGAGGACCTACAGTTCATAACGTCAAAAAGCAGATACATGTAATTGAAAACTACTGAGGTGTTTCAAGGTATAGAAAAACTATAAAGGAATTGAGAAATAGGTATCTAAACTCTGCTGTATAATAATTGTTTCTATAAATCAGCAATAAGGAAACGCCAGTATTTCATTCTAGCTACGTTATTATGCGAAGAAGTTTTCAAATTTGGATAAATATTGTTTCCCACATTTTAAGTTCGCATGCTGAAAAAGGAAGTCCACAAGAAAATAATCTTCAGACATAAGAAAGTCTTCTTATTTGGAAACGTTTATGACATTAATGGACCTAAGTGTTTCGAGACAGCGGTTTCCAACCTTTATGCTACTACGCCTCCCCTGAAAAAAATTTCTTTCCGCGCCTCCCTACCTTTTACTTTTTTAATAGATATAATAATATAAACACATTTTAAATAATAGAAAAAGCTGAAAACTACAATTAACAGAATAATAACAAGATTTTGCTATAACATATACGTGTTTTACGATATGAAGTTTTATTTATTTGTAGATATTATGGTATGAAAATTAATATTTTATTAAGAAATGTTGGTGCCTCCCGTAGCAATACTCCGTGCCTCCCACGTTGGAAACCACTGTCTTCAGGTACAAATAGGATGATTTAACGCAGCTCAAGCTATTAACAAATTTATTTGATATAGCAGTAAAAAAGATATGGAATCCATAAATGAATTAAAAAAGTATTACGTTTATATTATATTGTATTTTTTGTAATTGTTCTTGAATTATACTTTTTGAAAAATGGAACGATAATGATAATAAAACACGCGTGTTCCACCATCCACAAATTCCCTCATTCAAGCAGTCATCACTCCATTAATTTCCTCCATAAATTCGGATAATGGAAATTCTACTGTCCAAAAGAGCTTGTAATTCTAGCTTCTTCATTTAGATTGTTATGAAATAATTTTTGTTGGTATTAATAAATATTATAACGATAATCTTGGAGAAACGCTCCCAGAGGTTATGGCATCTGTTATTGATAAAAAGAACTATTAGCATCAGTGGCGTAAGAGTGGAAATAATGTTCATGTGGCGCACTGTTAACAATAGAAATCCAAAAGTTAAGATCTTTAAACAGAGATTTATTCAATGAAAATAATATCAACAATAATAGTGAAACAATAAATACAATAGTACTAATATAATAAACTAAAATGACAAGTATTTGAATGATTATGATATAATTTTGAAAGTTTGAACACGAAAGTTTATAATATTCTGAAACGTTTTCAATATGTACGATAATTAAGATGCTTAAAATCTATCTTATTAATTAAATTGACTGCACATGTGCAGGCTAGACCGACGAGCTTTGTAGATAAAGCTCAAACGCAGTAAACCCAGTAAGTTTTATTGAGCAACACCGCTACAAAGAAGCTCCGCTCCTCGCTAGATCATTAGACGTAGAATGAACCTTAAATCAACATTAGGTTTAGCTCAGAGCGTGCCCTCGAACTAAAATTATTCCTTCGCTGGCTAATTTAATCAAGTTGATCTGGAGAGCTCTACACAGACAGATAAAACCGGATCAGGTAAATTCTAGGGTTTCGGTGATTAAGCTCTTCGCGAGCTCATTAAACTTAAAGCGAAGCAACCGATTGTGAGTCTCTTGGTTTCTCAAAGATCTAGTCTCTAAGTTGGTTCTTGAAGCCATTAATCGAGGAACTGAATCGAACTACCAGCCCTCTATTTATGCTTGATAGTCGTGATTATGTGGTGCACTCACGTGGATGCGCAGTGTCTGGCCTCGAATATATTTTGTTGCTAATTTTTTACAAAAAAATATAAAAAAACGAACGCTAGCTTATATCAATAATAATCGTGATTAAACCTAAAGAAAAATACATCATTTAAACTAAAATACAATTTTTTATAAATAAAAATAAAAATAACATAAAGTAGTCATTTTTACGTTGATGGTCCAGGAGTGAGGATGTTACTCACTCCGTTACCTAGTACTTTTAAACTAACTCTAAACTGTGGCTTATTTGGAATATGTTGCGAAGAGGCTGATGTCAATAGAATGTCAGATACTTGTAAATAAGAAAAGTTAATTTTACAACAAAAGAGTTGCTTTCAGAATCCATGATAATTACACATTCTCTTGAAAAGTACTATGAGCTTTTAAAGTTTTAAACTCTTTCTCTTTAACACAAAAATACCACGAAAAGTTGGGGAACATTATTTTTCAAATTATTTGTATGCAAGAATGATTTGATCTGTTTACTTCTTTCCAGGAATTGTCCAGGATATATATTACCCAAAACATTTTTTGAACAGGAACATGATTATATATGCAAAATTTGTGAATCAATTGTTCCTTATGTGGAAATTGAAAAAATGTTAGAAGATATTGGTATATACCTTTCAATTATCAAGAAAAATGACATTATTGCATGTAAAGAATTTATAAGTCGTTACAAAAGTACCCTCCACCCAAATCATTTTTACAATATTGATGTAACGATTGCTCTGGCTCAATTGATTGGACAACAAACTGGAGGATTAGCAGCAGTTGAAACAGATCTTCTCATCGAGAAAATAGAATTATGCAAAAAACTGGATAAATTGCTCAAGACACTCGTTCCTGGTAATGTATTTTATTTAAGAAATGATAACTAACGACAATTATTCCATATTACCTTTACTCATTTCTGACGAATTCAACGAGTCCTATGTTTTAAAACTGGCTGATTAACTTTACCACAGATACGCAAAATACTCAAATACAAATACATGATGGTAGGATTTCAAGGAATTCCTGGGAACGTTTTGTTATTTAATTTGTTTACTCGATTAACATTTTCTGATGCCATCGTTGTTATTGTTATAGGCATGTGATGGAGGGATTAGGGTATTTTTTAACAAATTATAATGTATTTAATACAATCGTATACCTGTCCGTCCAATATTTTCACAGAAACCCTCGTATTTCTTTACTTTTTCTTCTGGGTGCGTATTGCGCATTGCCTGAAGCAGTTGAGAATTTCCCTTTTTTTCAAAATATGTAAATATTCGTAGAAACTGCACAGCCTAGAAAGTACCAAATTCTTGTTGGTTAGGCGTCAGGGATCTCCGGGGGATGAGGGTAATTGTACAATTTCCAATTCGTCGTTCTCCACTCTCTCCTCCTCGGGTACCGTGATCATGAGCGCGCGCATAACCTAGGGTTACTTTCGAACTAACTCTTTTAACTTCCTAGCTAGGCCGAAGTTTAACCGAGTACATCATCTCATTTCCCCTCATTTTTAGCCATTCCTTCTCTCAGCACTACGAAACTCTTCTAGGTGTAGTGTACCTCTCTATTTCAAAGTTTTCAAAATATGCCTTTTCTTGATCAGTTCTTTCCCACCCATCTCAATCTCCCACCAGTATATAATGTTTTAGCCTTTAGCTTTGTTCTCTTTCTCCCATGGTTTAGCTACATGTCTTGACCGTAGCTACTTTTTTTGGTTACCGCATAGAATTTTCGAGTACAAAGTATTAATGTTTCCCTTAATTCTTTCCCTCCATAAATAATTAATAAATAATAGCACGTCATTGAGTTCATCTACGCCGTTTTTCCCAGTGGCTCTCGGATTTCACATTGGGTTCTCCTAGTTTGAACCTCCCGGACTTTACGTCAAGGTCGATCGCAAGTGACTTCATTCTAGTGACACCCTACTTATATATTCATCCTCATCCGCAATCAATAATCCTGTGGCTCCCTGGCCTTTTTTTCACGAGGAGGGCAAAATGCATGCATACCCAGTGACCCGCGTCACTGAGTTAAGGGGGACTCAGCAGGTGGAACGCCATACCCACTAAAAACCCCTCGTCTGACCGCTCTTCTTAACGTACAGGTACCAACCCCGGAAGCGCCTTTCAGCATTCTTCAGGATTGACCCTAGGATGTACCCCTCATTCGTTACATCTTTTCAATTATTTCCATTTCTATTGGCTCTTGTTCGTCTTTTTTCTATATCCACCTTCTGCTTTCGTCTCCCCATAATAATTCTTTCGTAGAATGCCTGGAACTTAGTTCAGTTGTCATCTTTATTACCTCTTCAATAATATTTTCCGTCGTTAATGGAGTGCCGACATGGCTCCCCAATTTGGTCCTACCGAAGATCCACCTACGGCAGTGTAACAACGCATGCTCCGTGTCCTCCCTTCTGTGTCGCAATCCCAGCATCTGGAATGAACCTCTTTGCTGGTCGTCTTACGGTACATGTTGAATATCCCGTGTCCGGTCAATAGTTGCATCGTCCAATGATCAATATTTTTTCTTACACTTCTTGAAAGTACAAGCGTCCCCTCTTAGTTTCTTCGTCCAATTGTCATTTCTATAAGAGCTCCATTCTTCCCTCCACTTGTCGTCTATACGTTCTTTCACTGCCCTCATGTTTTCCACGAAATTTGAGGCAATTCCTGCTCTAGGCCGACTCTCACAATGTTCTTGTTGGTAATTCTCCTTTACTTCATATATCTTGGCCCGGAGTTCCGCTTTGTAGTAAATCGGCATTGTGCCCGCCAATACGCACGGCGCTGCATGCGATACAGTGCTGTGGGCTGTAGACGATCTTATGAATGCGGCCCTCTTCAAGATGTTTCTGTTTTTCCTAATCAACAGCGCTTTTGCCCATACCGGGGCCGCATAAGCACCACTGACTCCTATACTCCATAGTAAAGCTTCCTGACTGAACCAGTGGACCCGTTAACGTTAGCTAGCAACGTCCTCAGCGCCCCCATAAATGAATCGGCCTTGTTACAGACTTTCTCAATGTGAGCCCCAAACCTCCTGCAATTATGCAACTGCACCCCAAGGTACCTGATCTCTTTCTTGGTTCTCACTGGATGACCCTCAATCTGGATGTCCATGACATTGTGATTACGTTTCCAGGTGAGCAGATCCTCCGACTTTTCGTGTGCTATCACTAATCCATTGTCGGCACATCACAGTGTCACCACATTCATTGCCTTGTCGAAGCTTACCCCAATCTCCTCCTGGCTAGCCACGTCAAGTATCAGTGCCAGGTCGTCGGCATAGGCGACAGCATTCAAACGAGGGATATCCTGAAGCTCCTTCAGGAGGCCGTTGTATACAAGATTCCATAACAGGAAACCTAATATGGAACCCTGTGGGACACCCGCGTAAACTTTCCTCTCCACTATCTCTCCGCTGTTACGCACTACAATCTTCCTGTCTTCTAGATAGTTGGCTAGAAGACATAAAAGTTTCCGGGGCATCCCTCTTGCTTCATCCTCCAGCAGAATCTTATTTCACTAAGAGTATTGAACGCGTTCTTCATGTTCACCGCTGCGAGCACACATATCCGTTTTTTTCTTCTGGAGCTGTTCGCCAGTTCAACTACCCGGTGCAGCGCGTCCACCGTATTCTTCTCCTCCTGCGAAATCCAAACTGGTTTATATGGAAGGGGTCGAGCCCCAGCCTTTCCTCGACCAAATTCTTGAAGGTGTGTTCCCAGACTTTACTGAGTGCTGGCAACATACTGATTGGCTACGACGATAGTAGTGTGGGGTACCTACCCGGTTTCGGGATAGGTACCACCCTCGCCACCTTCCATATTGCAGGTATCCTTCCACTAACGTTTACTAGATTCCCTCAAATTTTAAAATAACTTTATTTAAATCGGCATCCTTCGACGTATATCTAAACTTTTTGTCTTGCCTTGTCTTTCTCGTTCTAAAATTGTGCAGGACATACGCGTATGGTCTGATGCTATCCACGGTATTTGGTATTCTCTCTCCCACGTTTTTTTTGCCCAGTCTTCTATCCATACTGATCACGTCGATGAAGCTCGTCCTCCCGTTCCTACAGAACGTATAGCTTTCCTTCTTATTGATGGGTACGATACCATTCTTCATCAACATATTCATTAGGCTTGAGGTGTATAAGTCGTGTCCGTGATGAATGTGGCTGGTGGCTGTAGATGTCGCTGCTGGGGGTACTGCTATATTTTCTTCCTATTTAGAATCGTGGAATAAAAATCGGACTCCGGTCGCTGGGATTCGATCTCGCGTTCCGAACGTTCGTAACCTAATGTGCTAACCACTGCGCTACCGTCGTCCGTTAGTTGTTTATGTCGTGTGGCGGTATTTGTGCTGTGGAGTGCCGCCACAGGCTCGTCTCCCTGTGATCAGTTCTCTGGCCGCCCCACGCAGTAGTCCTCGCGTTAAAATCGCCGGCGATCATCACTGAGAAATAACTCCTCCTGTTTGTCCGAATGATGGTCTCCGTTTCCCTTATATATTCGTAAAATTCTTCTAGTTTGACATTGGGGGAATAATACCCCCAAAGCAATACACGTCGCTAGCATTAATGCCCACTAGTCCGTTGCTGGTTGTCACAGTACTTTCATCCCGATATTTTCCTTTGAACAGGGTCGCCCATAACGATGCATCGCCATTGTCATCGGCGTACCAGTAAGCCTGCTGTCGATAAGACTCAGTGATAAAGACCATATCGACTTTAGTTTCGCAGACATACTGGTACATCAGCTCCTGGACCAACCTACACCTATTCAAATTTAAAATTAGGATTATCTTCTAAGTCTATTTCCTCCTCTTATCGTATCCTTCACCGCTGGACATGTCAGTGATCCTGCTACTCGTATCAGGTTGGCTCTTCTCTCCGCCGTACAGAACGCACACCTTGGCTCTTTACTGCAGCCGTTTATAGTGTGATCCCTATCGCCACACCTCCGACATAGCTCCCTCCCTGTATTCAGTACCGTACACCTTGCCTCATTATGTCCCAACATGTGGCATCTATAGCATCTGAGAACATTCAGGATAATTCTGGCTGTTGCTATCATCAATTCTGTCCTAATCCTGATGGTGGACTTCTTACTTGGAATGCTATTCGCTGGAACTACCACCGCCGCCTGCTGGGTTCTCAGCGATTTTATCTGAATCCATATTTCCTCCTTGATGTCCAGCTCTGTGTCCTCCGTCAGCTCCTTCCTGGTAGCGATGGGATCTATATTCTTTATCTCCAAGGTCTCCCTAGTTGATATTTTCATGTCCTTTTTCATGGCCGCCTTTAGTTTCACTGCAACCTCGTCCGCTGATACCTTATTGTTAATTTCAATCAAGATGTGGCCTGCCCTGGTCTTCCTCACACCAGTTGTTTCTCTGAGAACATCTTTCGCTCCCACTACCTCTCTATCTATCCAGTCAGCGTCCTGGCCAACTTTAACCAGGATCGTTTCGCTCCTTTTCCTTGCTACTATATCCCTTTTTTCTTCCACCTTTATTTCTGAGTGTCTCCTCATAGGTCTTACCGGCTACACTCCTAATCCCTCTTCGTCTGTCGATCACCGTTCATTCACCCTCGCTTTCGGCATTTTGTCTATTCCTACCACATGCCTCAGCATATGATAGCTCCTCTTGCCTCGGCTTTGCCCTATTAATCGTTCTTCTTTCCTCCAACAGCGATATTCTCTTCCCTTTTGCCGACTTGGCGACCTCGGTTTGGATGGCTACCGACACGTCACCACGGTATACTTTCTCCTGTTCCTTAGGATTCATCTGGATGGCCACCATTCTCCTGTCATGACGTCCCCTTTTCATTTCGGCGTTGGTGTC